GGGGTTGGCCTCGATACCCCTTCGGCTGACCATGTAGCCCAAGAACTTTCCTCCCTGCACGCCGAAGGTGCACTTTTTTGGATTCAGTCGGAGGTTGAATTTTTGCATGATGGCGAAGATTTCCTGGAGGTCCTCGGCGTGAGTGCCGGCCTTCTTGCTTTTGACAATCATATCGTCAACATAGGCCTCCATAGTGCGCCCCAAGACGGCTTGAAAGACTCTGGCCACCATTCGGGTGTAGGTGGCGCCTGAATTCTTGAGGCCGAAGGCCATCACAAGATAACAGAAGATACCTTCGGGTGTCATGAAGGCAGTTTTTTCAGTGTCTTCCTCATGCATGTAGATCTGATGATATCCGCGGAACGCGTCGAGGAATGACATGATCTCGCATCCCGCGGTCTCATCCACAAGTTGATCGATGTTCGGCAGAGGGAAGGGGTCCATAGGGCACGCCTTATTTAGATCTGTGTAGTCCACGCACATGCGGAAGGTAGGAGGTTTTTGTGCGAGGACTACATTAGCCAGCCAAGAAGGGTATTTCACCTCCTTAATGTGTTTGATGGAGAGGAGCATAGATACCTCCTTCTTCACGAACTCCCTTCTCTCGGCCGAGAGGGGTCTTCTTCGTTGCTGCACTGGTTTGGCCGAAGGGTCCACCGCCAGGTGGTGGGTGATAACCCTTCGGTCAATTCCTGGCATGTCCTCCGGCCCCCATGCAAAAACAATGGAGTAGGCGCGGAGGGCCTTGGTGATGTCAGCCTTCAGGTCTTCGGGGAGCTTGGCTCCAATCTTGAGGACTCTCTCCGGCTTGGCCGGATCGAGTATCAAGTCTTCGGTGTCCTCGGCAGGCTCAGCCCTCGGCCTACCTCCTTCTTCCTCCAGGGCCTTGGCGGTGATGGTGTCAACTCGAAACTCAGTTTTACTAACCTTCTTGGTAAGTTGAAGGTAGCAGGCCCTGGAGAGTTTCTGATTCCCCCTCGAATAGCCGATGCCGGTGGGTGTGGGGAACTTGAGGCATAGGTGCCTCATGGAGATGACGGCTTCCAAGTCCTCGAGGGCAGGCCGGCCGAGGATGATGTTGTGCGCGCAGTCGAGGTTGACGACGACGAATTCCACTTCGAGCTTGGCTCTATGGGATCCGTCGCCGAATTCGACCATGAGGGTGATGACGCCCTCGGCGTCTATGCTGTCCCCCGTAAATCCGGAGAGGGGGGTGTTGATGTGTCGGAGGGACCCCCTGTCGAGTCCCAACTCTTGAAAAGTGCTGAGATACATGACGTTGACAGAACTCCATGTGTCAACGTAAGTCCGGTGGATGATGGCGTCATTGATCTCAGTGCGGATGACGAGGGCATCCCTATGCGGCAGAGAACCCGAGGGGAGGTCCGCATCTGTGAAGAAGATGGGATCCGCCCTCGGCCTTTTAGTAGGGGGCATGTGATTGACCTCCCCTATGTAGAGGGACTGTGCCCACTTCTTCCTTTGGCTCGTTGAATCGCCTCCGGTGTTGCCGCCGTTGATCATATGAATATGGCGCTTGTATTGTTGATGGGAGCCCTCTCCCTCGTCGTCGAGGCCCCCAATTTCTCGTTTCTTCCCCTGTGGGTTTCCCAAGGGGATGGTGTTGGGGTTTACCCATTTGTTAGCCTTCGGCGGAGGCCCTTGATGGTGAGGGGGGCCCTGGGGAGGAGGGCCCCTGATGAACTGAGACAAGTGGCCCGCCTGTATCAGCCTCTCGATGGCGTTCTTCAGCTGATGGCAGTCGTCGGTTTTGTGTCCATGGTGACGGTGAAAGCGGCAATAGGGCTCATCAGGACCGATGGCATAAATCTCGAGGGGTGTCCGGGAGTCTCGCTCCACGAGCCCTCGCTCTTCTGCATGATCGAGAATGACGCTGACGGGATGCGTCAAGGGAGTGCGTGGGTGCTCAAGGAGGACGGGTTGTGCCCATGCCTTCGGATTGTTTTTGTAACCGCCCCCGGTTCTGGCTTGGCCACCCCGGGGGCGATCATTATATTGAGCCTCGCGGTTGGCCGGAGGAGGAGGTCCTCCGGGCCGATTCCTGCCTTCATTCTTCTGAGAAGGATCCGTGTTGCGGCGGTCCTTCTCGATCTCTTCTGCTTCGGCATATCGGTCCCCCCGCTGAAGGGCCTTGGTATAATCGCGGGGGGGATCAGTGATAAGGCTTCGGGAGAAGTTACCGTTACGGAGGACGGTGTGGAAGAGGGCCATTAGTGTCCTGTCATCAGCGCCTTCGACTTCGAGGGAGGCCTGCCTCCATCGCTCTAGGAAACTCCGAAGGGTTTCCTCCTTCTGTTGTCTCACATTCAGAAGGTGGGAGAAGTGTTTCTTTGAGCGGTGCCTCCCGGCAAACTGCGTAAGGAAGCGGTGGGCGAGTTCTTGCCAAGAATCAATGCTGCCTTCGGGTAAGCGGTTGAACCACTCATACGCGGGTCCCTCCAAGGTGGAAAGGAACCAACGGCATAAGTATTCATCCGATGCCCCCATCATCATCATGCTGTTTTGATAACGGCTATAGTGTTCTTGGGGATCCGTCTTCCCCTCATACGGCTTGATGGGTTGCCCCCGATATTTATGGGGGATTTTGGCCGCCAACACCCTCGGGGTGAAAGGCGTCCTAGTGCGGAGCTGAATGAGGGGCTCGCCTGAGCCTTCGGAAAGTTTACGTTTCATTTCCTCCACCTGTGCCCGGAGGTCAGCGTACTCCGGATCTGGTCTCGCTGTGGAAGCCGTCGGGGGTGCCTGGCGATTCTCCTCGAGTTGACGGAGGAGGGCTTCAATGATTTCGTCCTTGGGATCCTTCGGGGCAACCCCTTGGGAGTTGGCCCGGAAGGATTGCGCCTGATTGATCTGGTGCCTGGCGTCATCGGCATGGAGGAGGGCTTTGCCTTCGCTTCGTGGGGGAGGCACGCCCTCGGCGCCCGAAGCAGAGGCTCCACTCTCCTGGGGCCTGCTGAATGCCTGTTTTCCGAGGCGGTCTTGGACCCCTCGGTGCCCGGGAGCTCCCCCAAGCCTCTCAAGTACAGAGGTTCGGGGTTTCTCTTTCATCATGGGGCGCTTGTCCCTGGATTGGGCCTCTTGGGAGGCGGTATCCTGTGCCATGACCCCCTCGGCATTGCCAATCCCCGGGGGAGGACTGTTGAACAAAGGAGGGAGTGGTGGTAGTTGGATAACATTCCCTCCAGCGTGGGGCTGAAGGGGCGCCTGGGAGGCGAGGGCTCCGGAATTGAGAGCCATGTTTTGAACGAAGGCCGCAAAGGCAGCCTGAAGATCGATGGCCGGGGCCGGAGGGGGAACTTGGTTCTCACTCCGATCCCTCCTTCGATTATCAAGGCCAATGCGGGCATCAGGGGCGTTCTTCTGTAGCTGCTGACGGAGGTCAGCGGTAGCCTGCTCTAACTCGAGGATGACGCCACCCTCGGGTACTAAGAGCCTGTTGGAGGCCTCAGCCCCGTTAGTTTCGCCGGGGGCTATGTGGTTCTCCTCGAGGGTTTTGGACTGGGCACGGGTGGTTCTTCCCATTTTTGGCGAGTGTTTTGTATTTGGTAGAGGGGGAGGGTTTCTTACTTGATAGTTCAGACCTCTCAATGAAAGCACCAAATGATGGACAATCTACCCGGGGGGTATCTTATCCGAGGGGTTATTGCGGGAATAACTAGAGAGAAGTCAGAGTAAATAGGAGGAGAGAGAGTCGATTTTATTAAATGAACTCAGCGTGGAGTTGAGATGTAGATCGTGTAGATGATGTCCATTACAAGGAGAAATGGGCTGCTATTTATAGCAGCAATAAATGCGATGGGAGGACACGTGTCAGTAATCCAACGGCCGAAGGGTCACATCAGCCGGGTGGCACCGGCAGAGGTACGTTCACCGCATTGAATGCGGTTGGCGGATGTGACGTGGCATTAAATGCGGTGGTTGGCTGTCTCCAAAAGGAATCTTTGATGATTGAGCATGTTTAGCCGAAGGCTCCTGGTGTAGCCGAGGGCTCCATGCGACCAGGACCCCTGTGCAGCCGAAGGCCTCTAGTAGCCGAAGGCCTCATGTGACCGAAGGCTATGATGCCGGGGGCTTGGCAATGCCGAAGGCTTATGTTTTTCGCCGTTTTCTCCTAGTAGCTTCCTATGCCAGAGAAGACTATCCTGTGAGTTTTGGGGCCCTCGGCCAAGGAGGCCGAAGGCATCCCCGTGTGCATTTGAGGCTTGGGCCGTTGTATTTGGGCCCAAGTTGTTCCCTGAGCTCAATGGACTTGTGTAGGAGAAGTAGGAGTCTATGGGCCGGGGGTTCCTGGGCCATATACTCCATCAACTATCAACTTTTATTTAATCACTTCTCCACATTTCATTAAAAAAGCACTTTTTTAAAAGAAGAAGCTGTTGCAAACAGACCCTAAAATTCAATCGCATAATCAATTATAAATTATACATAATTTAAACATGTATTCCGTACTACTACGTAATATTTTTCAATCATTTATTCATTTGACTTCTCAATAGATTTTTAATCTAAAATTTTGAAAACATAATCTACACTTCATTAAGAAAGTAATAAAAAAATTGCATAAAGAATCTTTGGGAGTTATCTCAAATTTGTTGGTACCATAGAAAATAGAAACAAATACTCCGTATAAAATAAAATGGATAATTTGAGTTTGCACCCCATATTATTGTTTAAATTGGACTTTGCATCTCATTTTTAAAAATCTTTGTTTTTACACTCTAACCTTATATGAAAAGATAAAAAACCCCTTAATCAAGAATATGTTGAAAGTCAACAAAATTGTTAATGGAGGGACATTTTAGTCTTTTCATAAAAAATTAGAGTGCACAAACAAAGATTTTTTAAAACGTAATACAAAATCCAATTTAGACAATAATATGAGTCGAAAACTCAAATTACCTCAAAATAAAAGCAAAACAAAACAAAACAATTACTTAAATTTCACCCATTCACATTTCAACTTTCCCAATTGGCCAGCAGCGTCCTCCTGTCCTCTCCCCGTGCCACAGTGCCTTCCACTCTTTTTCCTTCCAATTCCAAACAAAACCCATCTTCCACTTAACTCACTTTAGTATTTGCTCTTCATTCCAATGAGTCCAGAAATTGAAATCCATTGAATTCTCCAAAAAAAAAACTCACCCTCCCCATGGGTTCTTTCTTCATGGGGGATCACAGTCCATAATTTCATTTGATCATCTTGTACCTCTAGCTCCAAAACACATCTAGATTTGAAACCTTTTTGCAGTTTCTTCAAAAACTCTTACCAAAGACTCAATCTTTGCCCCATATAAAAGAAGAAACACATGAAAAAATGAAACACACTCATCTGCTGATCCTAATCATACTGCTCACCTCATTTTCCTTCTTAGCTTTGCTTCTTTGTTTCGTGTTCTGTTGTTGCTATAGGAGAGGGGCTCAAGAGGATGTCCCGAGAGACCCGGAATCTGGGTTTGAGGTCAAGGAAAAGGAAGGGGGAATGGCTGTGGTGGGGAGTAAGGAGATTTTGATGAACTTTGAGGGCGGGCAAGATCTAACGGTTCTTGACATTCTTGATGCGCCTGGGGAGGTGATAGGGAAGTCAAGCTACGGGACATTGTATAGGGCGGCTTTGTTTAGCTCCGGTAACAGCAGATCAGCACTGTTGAGGTTCTACAAGCCAGCTTGCACTTTGGGTCTCAAGGAAGTGGTTCCAATAATCGAGCTTTTGGGGTCAATTAGGCACCCCAATCTGGTTCCCTTGTTTGCATTCTATGCAGGCTCCAGAGGGGAAAAGCTGCTGGTTCATTCCTTCTATCGCAAAGGCAATCTGTCTCATTTCATCAGAGGTAAAATATGAATCTTTGATCAGAACTTTATGAGTCTTTTGTTATATCTTGCAAAAAAAATGAGTCTTTTGTTATCACGGCGTCGCCGCCTCCGGCGGCGGGGAAGTTGGGCAATGCTGGGTCCACTTGACTGGACTCCTCTAGGCATCCTGCGGCGTCGTATTAGGCGTGGTCTAGTACATCTAGTAAATTTTACTTTACATTATTTATTATATACCGAGTTCGAAGTTTGCTTTTTGAATTTGTCAAACAGGTCCTTCAGCTTGGTGACTTCTTTTTCATTTTTTTTATTCTTTCCTTCTGGATTTGTTAGAGAACTTTGTCAAAGGTGCTTTCCTGGATTTAGAAGAAACTAGCTGTCTAGTGCTTGATTAACATATACCAAGTATAAAATTCCCATCTAGCTAATAGGCTAATAACTAAAGACCTGTTTGGTAAGAGTCATTTAGTTGAAATTGTTGATTCTACTGATTTTTCTGAAAAGAAAAGCATCTTAACTTCTATTTAAGCCTAATAAGTAATAAGTGTAAAGCAATGTGTTATGCTCATTATGCTAATTAGTAGCTACTACGGATATAAGACTGCCAAACGGAGCATAAGTTACTAAGGTCCCATTGGCATATAATAATATAAGGCACTTTCATAGGGTGTTAACTGTTAAGTCATCCCGTATTGAGCAATATGAAAGCACAAACCGTATATAAAGAATTATGTTACTCCTACTAAGTTGCTTTTGTGATGAGGCGTTGTTCAATAGAGTAAAAGCTAGCTATTTTTACCCTTTTTAGTTTGAATAAGTGCACTGTAATGGTTTAGTACATACAACTGAGTAAATAATGTATATGGCCTTTCATTGAAACAGATGGCAATGGTGAGGTGCACAGATGGCCGATCATATGTAAAATCTCCATGGGAGTTGCTAGAGCTTTAGATTATCTCCACACCTCCTTTGAAACCCCCATAGTCCATGCAAACTTGAAGGCCAAAAACATATTTCTGGACAACCTTTTCCAGCCACATGTGTCAGATTTCGGTCTCCATTTACTTCTGACCCCAATGGCTGGACAAGAAATGCTTGACATTGCCGCAGATGAGGGGTACAAAGCTCCTGAAGTGATCAAAATCAAAGATGCTGGCGAAATGAGTGATATATATAGCTTCGGAGTGATCTTGTTAGAACTGCTTACGGGGAAGGAACTGGTTGATGAATACACTTCATATCCCGGTTTGCCAAATGTGGTCAAGAGTGCCATAATTGAGGATCGGATTACCGAGTTGTTCCACCCAATGGTTTTTCTTGACCAAAAGGAGGACCGTATCGTGGAGTTGCTTCGGTTAGCTATGGATTGTTGCTCACCGTCTCCTTCTATTAGGCCTAATGCTAAAGAGGTCCTTACTAGGCTTGAAGACATTCAAAGGTTATGAAGGACACAACATAAAGACGTTGACTATACTAACATTTTTAGGATATACGTAGTTATATACTACGCTCCTGGGGAGTGATCTTGAAATGCCATTTCACCAAGGGCATCCAACTTGAAATTTTCCAGTGTTGTTTTTACATGGATTTGTGGTGTTAGATGATTTCAGATGAGACAAGTGTTTAACACTAGATTTCATGGATTTATTATAATGGAGAGGCCTAAATATTGTCAAGATGAGTTTTTTTTTTCTTTTTGAAGAATATGTCAGGAAGGAAGAAGATGACACTGATTTCTCCAAGAAGAAGCCATCTTAGGTTGCAGAGTTGGTGCATATGCTGTCAAATGGACCCTTTTAGCCAAACATGTAGTAGTTGACTATAGTTTGATCTATTAGGCAAACTTATCAGAGGTGTAGTAGAACTGACTGTATACATTATGATATTTCAGACATGAGTACTAATATCTTCAAATTACACTTTCATTACTGTTAGAAAATGAGCTGGTGCATTCAATATCCAGAAATTTGTCTTTATTTTTTCTTCTGGCGATGTAATTCAAATGTATGGCTGGTGGTTGGTATTGCGACTGGATGGCAGGCACTTTCACAGGTCGCATCTGTCTATTAAAAGCTTACGTATTACAAAAAGATGCCTTGATTAGTTGCTTATAATAATCCCTCCACGTGCTTGAATTTGTTTTTCTCTCTAATTATAGACTGAAAATTAATACATCTGCCTTGAGTAAACTGATCAAATGAGCTGTATTTGCGGATTTTGATGGTCAAAATAATTGAATGGTTTGAATTATCTAACCCTTCATTATTTTTTGGCAAATACTACGTACTATAATAATAAAGCAAAATGACTCATTAAATTGTCTGCGATTCTTTATTATGAAGCAACATCGATTCATGCAATTATCGACACGACTTTGCACCATGGGTAGGCATGGACTCCGTCCTGTTCGGGCCGGGCTTGGGCCGGGCCTAGGCCCGGCCGGGCCAAAAAACAATTCTGTGAAGCCTGGGACCGGCCCGGATGTTGACCGGTTACGGTCCGGTTCGGGCCCGGGCTGGGTCCGATTCTATTTTTTTTTTTTTTGTTTTCTTGATTATTTCATCCTCTACCCCCCATCGGCCATCCCCCCAAAACCCAAACCCATCAGAAACACCCAGCCCAGCCCATTTAAACTCAGCCCAAACCAAAAAAAGAAAAAAATAATAAAAGACAGGCCCGAACCGGGCCCGGCCAGGCTGGTTCACATTTTAGCATACCCGGAATTAGGGGTGGACTCGGGCCGAGCGGCCCGGCCCAGTTACTGTTTGAACCAGCCCGGCGCCCCAGCCCGGGGCGGTTCCGGTTGACCCGGCCCGGTAGGAATGCGGTTCGGGCTCGGGCCCTAGGATTAGTGAACCGGCCCGGCCGGTTCGGGCCCGGTCCGGGCCAAATTAATTTTTTTTTTAATCTTTTTTTTAAGTTTTTGGGTTGGGCGGGGTATTTTGGACCATTTGAGGTGGTTTGGGGGTGAGGGGGGAGGGTTGGGGGTTAATAGAACCGAGGCCCGGCCCGGACCCGGGGTTACCCGGGCCCGAGTCCACCCATACCCGGAATCGGCCCCGGTTTCATCCTTAAACCGGGCCTAGACCCGGAACCGGTTCCCGGGCCGGGCCGGGCCCAAACAGTGCCGGGCCGGTTCCCGGGTCGGGTGGCCCGCACCGAGTCCAACACTAACCATGGATCATCTGGAAACCGTCTCTCTATTCTTTAGTACAGGGGTAGTAAGACTACGTATATCCAACCCCTCTTACCCCACGTAAAGTGGGTGCCTTTGCGGCATTGGGGTAACGACCATGATGAAATAAAAATAATATACTTCGTATAAAAGATGGAGTGACTGTCATATAATGAAGTCCATATGCCATTTATCTTCCTTTCAGCCCTTTCAAAAAAAATATAACTTCTAAACAACATCGTTTTTAGTTTCTGTTGATATGAATTGAGGAATTCTTCTAGCCTAGCAAATTAATATTACAACAAAGGAACTGCAATGAATTCCACATTGCATACTTGAAAAGGGAAGTTGGGGACTGGGGGCATCTTTGTCACACAGTCATGGTTTCAGGGTAAACGGTGAAGACATAAACACCGTCCATTCCAGGTTTCATTACCGAGTACTGAAATGTCCACCCATAGCATGCACCGGCATGAACACCATTCTTGTTGACAGCAAACACTGCCCCCATGAAGCCTGGGAATTTTCTCGCTATACGTGATATTGCGTCTTGAGCTGCAACTTTGGGTTCCATGCCTAATCTCATACTTTCCACAACTTGATAGCTGTTGATGGGAAGAAACAAATAAACGCATTTACTTATTCACATACATGCATGGTAACATTTTGAGTGTTCCATGTCCAACATTGACACTAGAATGGTTGAAGTGGCTGAAGTTGTAGTTGAAATTGTTGAATTTGCTAAATTTACTGGATTACTAAAAATATGTGTATTTGGAATATATGGGAGTGCATCTTGATAAAATCAAAGAAATAATATCTAACATGATGATGGAAATGTAAATTTATTTATACTTAGCTATTTCAGCAGCAGCAACAAAAATCGTGCACTATTTTTCAATATTATTAGCTGAAATACTTCGTATGTCATAGCTGTAAAATAAGTTTATGTCTGAGGAAAATAAGGCTGATAAGAAGGTTTACCCAACAGGCTCTTAAACCCTTTGAGCCCTTCTGTATATACTCACCTCATGTATATACTCACCTCAATCATGTTATGAGTAAAGTGTCAAATCATGTACATGAATTTGCAACGGAGCTCATATAGTACTTCAACTTGTCTTTGACAGCATAAAGAGTACATTAAAACTGCTTCTGCTCCTTCATGACCGGAAGGAGATATTGGGGTGTTTGGGTGAAAGTGTGGAAATACTTCTGAGAGCTCTAAAATATTCCTACAAGCAGGGTTTTTGAAGATGGGGGAGGGAAACTTTTGAAAACTGATTCTGATTGTATTTCTACTTTTAAAAAAGAAGTAGAAGCAGAATTAATTCCAAAACCCCCTAACTTGCAATAGAGTTATGAAATACTTCAACTTGTTTTCAATGTGGAATTGCGGTACATCTGTCAAATATAGGATAACTTAGGAATGATGATTTCACGATTTGTTATCTTTTAGTTTAAACTAACTAAAAATCGAAAAAAGTTAAAAAAAATACTATGAGAGGATTTAATGATTCATATTTTTCACCTTTTTCATTTTTTAACTAGTTTAAACTAAACTTAACAAATCATTGAATCATTTTTTCTAAGTTGTTCATCTATATTTGACGAATGTACTATAATTTCAGTGTGAAAATATTTATAGTACTTTATGGGCTCTGCTGCAAGTTAGTGTACTTTTTATTTCACTATAAACAAGTTGAAGAACTTTATGAATTCTGATGCAAGTCTATGTACTTTTAACTCTACCGGACACAAAATCAAATACCAAATTGACACGTTACTCATTATGTTATGCCTTAATTTCAATGGCTCCTAGCCTCTAGGCGTTCTCAAAAAGTGATACGAATATGCCTAAGGCGTGCCAAAAATGTGAGATACATGTTTAAGACATGGATTTAATAAAGCAATGTGCGGGCAGGCGGGGGGGGGGGGGGGGGGGCTAATGGAGCTTAGGTTTCCCCTTGATGAGATTAATAGGTCTAGTTAGATATTGATAGGGTCAATGGTAACAATGTAACAAGTTTAACAGATTCAGGGGCTGTTATTAAGTAAGCTACAAACCATGGTAGGAAACGCATCATGATGTCACCATCCCCAGTTGCCCCACAAGCTCCAACTTCAGAGTCAGCATATGCTGAAGACCCAACAATAGGTCCATCACCAACCCTGCACTCAGTATGAACCCCTTCATCCATTTACTTTCTTCATAGGTTAAATAAAATATAAACTGATGGAGTAACAAAGATAATGTAGGACTGTTAAGAGAGTTCCAATAGTAGTACTGAGAATGATTACCTTCCAGGAATCTTGAATGCTGCCCCATTAGTTGAGGTTCCAACAGCAATATGCCCTTCCTGAAGAGGAAAATAAATTCAGTTTTAGTAACCTTGATGAGAAAAATAGTATGAACATTTTGGCTTATATGTTTCTGTGTAAGCAATATATTTGTTTTACATCCTTTTAGAAAAATTGTTTTTATGTAGCCACGTTTACCTCTATAGTTACCATTTCAAAAGAAAAATCTATTGTGGCACAGAACTCCAGTCTGGACTTTCCACATATATTTGAAATATACTACGTACTTTTCATGAAGACAAATGTAGTGTGGAAATCCCAGGCTAAATTTCTTCCTTCCCGCGAAAAATGCCACATTTTCTAGGAAGAAAGGGATATTCGAGGCTTATAAAATATTGTCCACAGTTCATACTAGTTTGGTAAGTAACTTTATTTTTTTCTTACAGAGGGTTAACCTGGATGGGCAAAAAAGAGAACATACTAAATAACAAGGAAAAAAAATATGGATAATTAAAATTAGTGGACGGAAATATGACTTTTAACACCAATGTTCACTTTAATGCAATGACGGTAGTGAGATTGTAGTATTTTCGGAGAGAGTGGTCATATAGTCATATTTCTGTACATGGGTTCTGTTTTAGCATCACTGTAGTAAACAAACCAAATTCGAAAGATGAACGGAAAAAAATATAGTGGCCTGAAGAAAAACCACTATATTTGCAATAATGAGAACATATTAGGTTTCTTTGATAAACGAAGCTAAAACTTACTCTGTCAACAACTGCCATTGAGATTGTGTCATGGTTGTTACGGTTTATATGAAATGACCCTGATTGAGTAGGCCTCGTGGAGCATATATGCTCATCCTGGTAGAGAGAACGCTTAGGATGGTATGGGCCGCAGTTGTCCACAGGGAAGACATTTTTTCTAAAATTAGATTGGCAATTGCTTTCTTTCCATTTCATCCATTTTTCTATTGATTCTGCTGAGCTTAGGTTTGTAGGCCCAGGAAGGCCCATGGAAAGGGCAAAGACCGAAGCTTGCTCCCCAACAAGCATAGTGTGTTTGGTATATTGCATCACCAGCCTTGCAGCTTTTATTCCATCTTTCACATACCTCATAGCACCAACAGCTCCAACTTCCATTGTCACCTGTGTATGTCTTAGCATATACAGAATAAATTGAAATTATTTATTATTCTTTGCTTATATCATAAAGGACTTCAAAATATAAGCAGTAACCCTATGTTTGGTACAATAGAAATAACAAGTAGATAGAGTTAGGGAAGATGACAAATGGAAGGAAAGCAGTAGTTTCTTCTGTTCAGTGGAGAGAAGGAAGGTGGAAAAGAAAAGAAAAATCCATGGGGCCAAGTTGTATGAAGATCTAGGTTGATCAATTTTTTTGTATCAATTTTAGCCTTCTCATGGTAAAGTAAATATGGTTCTTTTTTAAATTGAGGAGGTTTTTGTCTTCTAAAAATAATACAGTACGTAGTAACATCACTTCTTCCTCTTCTCTTTCTGACCTAATTTCTCTTATACCAAACAATACCCAAAAACTACTCTATCTCTCCATTTCCTCCCTCTTACATATATCTCGCTCTTCTCAATTTCTTGTCTAAGTCAAACCAATCATATTTTACCCTCACTTTGTGATGTTCTAGGTTGTGTTTTGTCAATTTTGCCCATTTTTTAATAAGGTAAATATAATTAAAAATAAATAAAGCTTTAAGTGAGTTTTTTATATTATGAAATAACACCACTCCTTTCTCTTCTCTTTCTCACCTATATCTCTTATACCAAAGTACCAATCAATACAACAAAAAAAACTACTCAATTTGTCCCCTCTTTCACTATTTCCTCTCTCATTCCAATTTTTCACTCTTCTCAGTTTCTCATATAAACTAGACAAAGTGTAATGATTTTTACCCCATCCATGATCATAGCGTCGATTGTGGTTTCTCCATTTTCATCTGGACTTCCGCCAGGCCCAACTGAACATAGAAATGATATTCTGAAAGACTCATTATTTGAAAACAAGTTTTATAGCAATATCAGGCAAATCCTAAGTCACATAATTATTCAGTAAGACTGTTGAAACATAGGCACCTGGAGTGTTATAAAACAGGATGTACTGCTAAGAGACTTTTTTCAATCTTAACGTTTTCTTAATAAAAGTCCGTTGCTGGATCAAGAGATACAAGAATAAATAATAAATCTTTAAGTGCAATAAAATTTCAGGTTTCAGTTTTTTTCAGCCTGTTTTCGAAACCCTGAAACTAAAAAAATAACTTAACAAAAGTCCTACTACTAATTCACACATAATGTATACTTGGTATATATCTATCTATATTATACTCCCTTTGTACCATTTCAAGGTTCTTGGTTCAGTTTACTAAACTCTTCCCTGATTTTAATCATAATATATGTATTAGTATTAGTAATTAAGTCTACGTACTCAAAAAACAACACAAGAAGTTCTATTGAATCATCATCATCATCATCACCCCAGTGCCGCAAAGGCTCCCACCTATGATGGGGTAAGGGGGGTCGGATGTACGTAGTCTTACCCCTGTACTGAAGCACAGAGAGACTGTTTCCGGATGACCCATGGTGAAAATTGCGTCGGAAATTGCATGTTTAGTGACTGCTGCTTCATAACAAAGAAGCGCACACAGTTTAGTAAGTCATTTTGCTTTATTCCATCATATTCACAAGCCAAAAAATAGTGAATCTTTGGCTCCATTGCAAATGATGGAAGTAAGAAGTTCTATTGAATCCCAAATATTAATTGAATAGCAATAAAATTATTATATAAAATCATACATTAAAACATAGTTAAGTTGACTGTGTGAATTCGGTATGAATAGTCTATGGTAACCTCAAACTGGGACTAGAGTGTACATAATTACGTCCTTAGAAGAAGAAGAGACAGCTTCCACAGAAATGGGATTATTTGGAGCAATACCTGTGCCATCACACCGTAATTCCTCACAAGTGGAACAGCCTTCCACCACTGCATCCATAGCTGACAAACCGCTATCAGCGGCCTTCCAGGCAGCCCTAACAGCTTCTACGAAAGGCCAAGTGCTTACAACTAAAGGGTACTGTTGTGACTTCTCCGATTCACTTCCAACTGCCTATGTAAAAGATACAACTCACAGAGAAAATGAGCAAACGACCAAAGTAAAAGATATAAATATACAATAGAGGAGGTGACCTGAAATCCAATGCATCAGACTGACTGAATTTTGTGTCCCTTTCGTATGTTTGTTTTGCTATGAGCTTTACAAATCAGATTTCTATGAAACGCTAAATTATTTCATTGCAATAGTTGGCATGATAGGTAGGTAATGGAAAAGAAAGTAGTAAATGAGTGATTTTTCGATGAAATGGGTATTATTTCATTTAGTTTAATTAAGATATATATTATAACTTCTATCGAATTAGTTCAACCTTGTTGGCCACTTCAGGCCACAGTTTCAGCAACTTCAGCCAGCTCAACTATTTCAATAAAATTACATCTTCCTCAAGCAGCTCTTACACTAAAAACAAGCTTTAAGACTAAAAATCTATCTCTTTTACAATACCGATTGGAAAGAAATTTCACAAGGTCTTTCTTTTAATTTTCCATTTTAAATTCCAAATAAAATTTCAAACAATCGGGCAGCAGAGAGACCTAAAGATTTAATTTTTTTTGTTTAATTACCTGCAAGAATTTCTTCAGGGAAACCCAACAGCAGATCAATAACTCAGAGGACCAAATATTACACAGTCACACACACACGTATGTATATACATATACATATAGCTGTAGAGAGATGTGCAGGCATACTATGAAGTATGAACGTATAGAATATGTATTACCGAGATGCAGAGGAGTGTGAAGAGGAGGTGTTGAGTGATGACAAGGTGATCTCCGATAATCCCGAGGATGTTCGACATTGGCCTTGGAATCTTTCAGTCTCAGTGAGTAAGTGAACTTCCAGAAAGAATCCCCATAAATGTTTGGAATTTTTGGGGTGTGTGCAAAAAAATTCCATAAAGCTGGAGTGTTTGGATAAAATTCCAGAAGCACTTCTAGTGCTCTAATTTACTCCCAAAATCAGTTTTTTAGAAGCTGGGAGGTACCAACTTCTGAAAACTGATTCTGATTCTGCTTTAAAAAAAAAAAAAGTAGAAGCAAAAGCAATTCCAAACACCCCCTTAGAGCGTTAGCATGAAAATTGGCTGATTTGACTGATTTGAATGATTTTGCTGCATTGGCTGATTCTGCTGATATAAGTAAAAATTGTTTTTAAAATATATTTTATTAACAAAATAAAGAAAAAATTATATGTAAAAATAGCTAAAATGATCTACTGTAACTTCAGCCAATACAGCCATAAAAGTAACTCCAACCTTACTTTTTCTTCTTATTACACAATTCAGCACGCGAAAGTAAAAATTACGTGTTTGATTAAAAGGTTGGCTGATAAGCCTGATAAGCCGAAAAACAGTGTAGCCAAATGGCCTCTTATATTTTTCCCACGACAATAAATCTCTGCATAGCCCCCGAAAGAATGTTATTACCTCCATCTCATTTTACGTGTCTTACTTTGACTTGACAAGGTTATTAATGAAGTGGTTGAAAAGGTAAAAGTATAATAAAGTGAAATGATGTAAGCCACATTTCTTTCCAAAAAAGGAAATGAGACACTTATTTTGGGGCAACCCAAAATGAAAAGTATGACAAGTAAAATAGTACGGATGGAGTATTAATAAATAATCTATGTTATATATTGGTATATTGAAAGAATGTTAAGGTTTTAAAAATAATTAATGGATATTAACTTTCATTAATGTCGGAATATATGACCATTTATTGTATCATACTCCCTCTGTCCCTCTATTAAGTTCCTACTTTGACTTACACACATATTTAGGAAATAAATTTGACTTTACTGTTTAGACACTGTTTGGCACTGTTTAGACACTGTTTGGCACTGAAAATAGTACGGATGGAGTATTAATAAATAATCTATGTTATATATTGGTATATTGAAAGAATGTTAAGGTTTTAAAAATAATTAATGGATATTAACTTTCATTAATGTCGGAATATATGACCGTTTATTGTATCATACGGAGTATTTGTGTAGTTTACAACTTAATAAATATGCTTTAAATCATAGCTCCAACAATGTAATTATGAATTAGAATTAATATTCAACCTATAACAAAGAGAAAGAGGAATGATGAGTTTTTTTTATGAAAAATTGATAGTAATAATCCCAACTATTGGCGGTCCGCTCATAATAATTCCAACTATCGATTATTTCAGAATAATCCTAACTTTAGGGACCGTCCGCCAATAATGGTCCGATGTGACCGGCTATAAATAAATTTCTATAGTTTCTTAAGTGGATGAGTAAGAGATATAGCAGGTAATCCCTATAAATAATTTCAACTTCTAATTTTTACACTTAATTTCTATTTAAATTCATCTCTAATAGCAGGTAATATCCGATCATGGACCATTATTAGCGGGCGGTCCATATAGTTGGAATTACACAAAAATCATCAATAGTTGGGATTATTGTTAGCGGATCAGCAATAGTTGAGATTATTATTTTCAATTTTTCCGTTTTTTTATTCAACAATTTAATGATATTCTTTTTATATTTTCACATGAATTTAATGAAGGTGGTGTTTATATGATGTACACCATCATTTTGCTATATTTTTCGTTAGTTGTGTTACATCTTTTGAGTATTTGCAAATTTGAAGGCGTAAATGTAATCTTGATTTTTTCATGAAATTTCATATATTCTTTCTTTTATGTTTCCTTCAAATTCTTTTGTTTGCTACACTTTTCTTTTTACAAGTTCTTTTGTTTGCTACACTTTTCTTTTTAGGAAGTATTTTTTGGATTTGTCATACTTTCCCCTTTTGCTATATTTTTTCTTTGAAATACTTAATTTCCCATATTTTTCTAGATTTCATATTATCTTTCATTACAATTTTTTCTAGATCACTTTTGTGACGCCATTGATTGGTTGGCACAAGTAGTAAGAAATTGCTAAAAGTCTTAAAGCTACGCAGTTAGTAACTGGGTGTAGATGTTTAAAACTGGAATCAAAGTAATAAGTGAAGCCTTGAAAGGGTAAAACGACCACTAAATGAAAACAAAACAAAGGTTTCAAAGCGATCTTAGGAACGGTATAATATAAATCTATAAATTACAATAGACGCATATATTTTTCTTTGACATTTATACTAGTAAAATAAAGAGGCAAAGAGCAAACAAGAACAGCTAAAAGGCATAGATTCTCATATATACCATTCTCCAGAGTATTAGTAATTTAGTACTACAGAACCTCTTCAACAAATTTCTTCCAGAACCAGTGACCTCTCCAAACCCTATCCATTTTCTCAATAGGTATATTTTTTGTCTCAGGCAACAAGAAGAACACAAAGGCAGTCATAACAGCAACCCACCCACCAAAGAAGAAGAAAATCCCACACTTGAAGTGGCAAAGCATTGTCAACAAGTTTTGACCAACCAAGAAGGTGAACAGAAAGCTCACAGCCACCGTGATGCTTTGTCCAGCTGATCTGATCTCCAGTGGAAAGATCTCACTTGGAATCAGCCATCCCAAAGGCCCCCATGACAACCCAAACCCTGCAACATAACCACATATTAGTAACAAAACCACAACTGCCCAGTCTTTGCTTACCCCTCCGTGGTTCCCCAACTTAACACCCATAACTACCCCTACAGTCACTTGTGTGGAAAACATTACTATTCCCCCGATGATCAAAAGCCGTCTTCTACCAAGTTTGTCGACAATCAGCATTGAAGCAAAAGTTGTGGCCATTCCAACTGCCCCAATCACAACCGATGACATGAGTGAAGCACTTTCACCTAAGCCAATTATCCTAAAAAGGACCGGAGCATAGAAAGCTATCACATTTATACCGGTCACTTGTTGGAAGAAAGGAATCATGATTGACATTATTAAATGAGGCCTATATCTTCTCTGTGTGATGTTGATGAAGGGGTTTTTTACTGTTTTTGAAAGCTCGCTAGCTGCAATGAGATCATCCAACTCTGCCTGGACGTCATTTGTGCCTCTTATTCTCTCCAGCATCTTCTTAGCTTTCTCATTATCATGGAATCGATGAATCAGACTGTTGGGTGTTTCTGGGAGGAAAAGACCACTTAATGTTAGGAAAAATGCAGGAACTGAAGCTAGTGATAGAGAGATTCTCCATCCCCAACCTTCTCTGATCTTTTCAGTCCCATAGTTTATTAGGCTTGCAATTAAGACCCCAATGCCTACACTCAGCTGGAAGCCATTGTTGATTCCTCCTCTGTACTTGGCTGGCGCCATTTCTGATAGATACAATGGAACTGCCTGATTGGCAAAACCAACTCCTATGCCAAGCAAAACTCTGCCGAGAATCAGCATGTAAATATTCAAGGCTGCGCCACCGAGGGCTGTGCCGGCTAGGAAAGCAACTCCGCCTACAGGGTCCGTTTGGATCCCAGAAAATATTAAGGAAAGAAATTAGGAATGAAAGCATAAGAGAAATTGGAAGGGAATAGTGTCGAGGAAAATAAAGAATATCGTAAAGCTCAATAATGTTATTTGGGTGTTTGTTGATAAACAATTTCGATCTATGTGTATTTATGTGTATTATATAATGACTAAAATATGTAAATATATGTAAGTATGCAAAGCAAACAACTAATTATATTCCATTTTTCTATGCATTTTTCAATGCAAAACCAAACATAAGAAATAAGTTTCCTTAAACCTTTTCCCTTTCCATAGGATTTTATGGGATCCAAACATACCGATTAGGATTGATGGTGTTCGTCCGAATGCGCCGGTTACCAATGACGCTAACAAGGAAGCAAATAGACCGGCTACATACAGTGAGGATGAGAAAGCCGTCAAGAGTTGACTGTCAAATTTGCAGTAGTTACTGACCTCAGTATTTTTCTTCATCTTAGTATACACATCATGGAAGAACTTTTTCAGAAATGGTTCCATCGAGGTCACTCCGCCTTAAAAAAGTGCACATTCTCATAAACGTCAAATCTTTTTAGGCAAAAATAACTCAACAACATCTAATGGTATATCATTAGCCTAGCTAATAGCTTTGTGGCATGATTAGTTATTTACTGTTGGCATTAATTAATTATCTATTCAAGAACTTGAGTAAGACAAATAAATGATAAAATGTGTGCAGCACACTGAACCTGAGATTCCAATATCATAACCAAAGATAACACCTCCCATGGCAGCCATCATACAGGATAACACGACAAATGAAGTTATGCTGCCATTATAATGGCCGAGTTCATTAGGTATGGATATTACCACTGCCATAATATTTTTTATTCTTTTTAAAATGGATTTATGAAGGAGAAAAGGAAACAGGAGTTCTTGAGTAGTTAAGTACTGGATAGTAATGCTTATGACTTATTAGGTGCTACCAACCAGTCTTGGCAGTCTGAATTGATCAACTTCACTAATTCAGTTTGCCCAAATGTGGCCCACAATTTCTAGGATATTTCATGTGTAAGGTTCGAGCAAAAAATATTATTTGAGGGTTAGAATCATTCCAGCTGGATAACCCGATAATGTCAGTAGCTGAGCTGCCATGGATTATATACATCCTTTCAGTTGACTTTCTTGTTAAAGCCACTCAAAAAATGTGGAAATAGAAAAAGACAACCCCACCATCATGTAAATGATTGATGACCTCTTTACTTTAAAGCAGTTATGAGACTTGGACAAGCTGAAAATAGAAAAAAGGCAACTCCACCATCCCATATATTATGAAAGAGTTCATTAGTCTGAAGCAGTGATAGCAATATTTGAAAATCTGGGCAATTTCGCCATCCATAGGGAGATCAACTAACTCAAAAAATTGTTTAAAAGAAAAATATAGAAACACAGTAGCTTACTATAATTTTAACATAACCATGTGGCTACTACAAGCATAACAAAAATCAGGATTAGTTGGGAATCCGGAATTTCAAGCGTACACTTATGAATTACTGTTTCATTATTTTACTCCTTCATATTTTCCACTAAGATTGTCCCATACCAGATTTGGTAAAGTTTATATGCTTCTAAATCATTCTTACTTTATCAATTCAATATCAACCACATAAACCCACATTTCTTAATAATTGCACCACTTTCTCATGTTTGAATGTTAGTGAGACGGAGATAGTATCTACTTTTACTTACATTTCTCATTGAGCAATTAATTTCAAACTCTTATTTTCCTGATCCTCAGGTTACCAGTAGTCACCGCAAGAACAGATGCCATCTTTGAAATGATGATAGCGGTTCACATCTCTGATAGTAATTTGTCTATCTGTGATTTTCGATATAAATTTGATTGCAACATGGCAATCTTCACAAACCCGTAGGTTCTTAGTGATCAAGAGATTGCTCCCCGGTGGTGTACTAATAATCCCAAAGACAATTGCTAGCCTTTCACTGTGGCAGGAAAGCATTCTAGTCTTTTCATCGTCATCCACATCATGAAAAACAGCTGAAGTATTTGGAGTATAACCAGCCTGCACCATCCTTGCTCCCAAACTTTTTAGTTCTTCATAAATTTCATTAGACATTGGATGAGATGTATCTCCAGAAAGAAAAGCGTGTACTTTACTTTTAACTTCAATCCAGCTACAAGCTGTGCTTTTCTTTAATCCTTTGTCGGTCATTAGTTTTCTTAGTGTAGCAACTCCCTCCCACCTGCCTGCTTGGGCATACATGTTTGATAATATCACATAATTTCCAGCATCGTTTGGTTCCAGCTCGATTAACTTCTCCAAGGCAAGTTCTGCTAACTCCACATTTCCTTGAATTTTGCACGAATTAAGCAATGCGCCCCACACACCAGAATCTGGGACGACTTTCATCTGTGTTATAAGTCCATAAGCTTCATCCAGCCGACCGCGGTGACCAAGGAGATCAACCATGCAAGTATAATGCTGAACAGATGGTTCAACACCGTAAATCCTAGTCATCTGTTCAAAATACATCTTCGCCTCATCCAGCATCCCTCCATGCTTACAAGCCGATAAAACTCCGACAAAAGTAATGTGGTCTGGGTGGGCTCCACGGATCATCCAATTAAACATATGAAGCGCTGCATTAGCATGGCCATGCATTGCATATCCAGTGATCATAGCATTCCAAGAAACAACCCTTTTCTCTGAAAGTGCTTCGAATAACATCCTAGCAAGCTTCACATGACCACTCTTGGCATACATATCCACGAGAGCAGTCATCACCTTGTCCTGAGAGCAATAGCCCTGTCTGAAGCTGTAGCCATGAAGCTCCCTCCCTTGTTGAAGTGCAGCTATGTCTGCAGCCGCTGAAATGGAAGTCACTAAAGTGGCATCAGTTGGCCCAACGCCCGAATAAGCCATCTCACTGCATAAAGATAGGCACTCATCCGGACACCCATTCTGCGAATAAGCAGCGAGCATTGAGTTCCAAACGACAACATCCCTCTGAACAACATTATCAAATGCTTTTCTTGAATTCTCAACACAACCACTTTTTGCATACATGTCAATGAGGGCAGCACTAACAAAGACATCTCTTTCCCACCCGGTGCTCACCACTTGCCCATGAATGTCCCTCCCGACATCAATACCAGAGAGGGCCGAGCACGCCTTGAGCACGAAAGGAAATGTAAAGTTATTGGGAACATGGCCGTGCTTGAGCAGCTGGAAATATAAAGATATGGAAACCTCATAAGGACCACTCCACGCGTACCCTCGAATTAAAACGTTCCAGAGAAAGAGATTACCTTTGGAGATTTTATCAAACAGTTGGTGTGCAACGCTTACATGGTCACAAACACAGTAAAGATTGACTAGTTTCGTGGCCAAGAAGGTGTTGTAGCCAAGCCCAATAAGGCACAGACGAGCGTGTAGCTGCCTGCCTCGCTCAATCGCCTTCCCAGCGATGCAGGAATTTAAAAGCTCCGCATAATTTGGCGCCGGGTTGGAAGCTAGTGAGTGCTGATGATAGTGAAGTTTCTGAAGTAATGCAAAATAGCAAGGCGATGGGTTCACCAAAATCCTGGTCTTTGAAAGCATTTGAAATTCGAAGAAGAGATATAATAATAACTATAGCTTTTACTACAAGAGCGGACGCCGTTGGATTTCAGAGTTCAGACTTTCAGTCCCAGTTCTCACTACCTCATTCTAAGTTCCAACTGCAAAAACATGCAAGTTTGGAGTCAACTCAATTCCCTTTATCCCGCTAATATGGTTTCATTTTACTTTTTCAGTTTGTTTCATTAAGATTCTCATACTCCATCTATTTAAAAGTTCACTATAATAGTTTTGACAAGTTATTTAAGGATAGAATAGTGATGGTAATGAATAGTGTAGAAAAAAAAAGAGCGAATGTGTAAAAATGTGAAATAGAAGATAAAAAATAGAAAAAGTAAGGGCAATTGAATATTTTTAAAGAGAAAACTTTCCAAATGAGAAACGTGTAGAAAATTTTGAAATACATCCCAAAAAGGAAAGTGCAGAACTACAGAGGGAGTATTAAATTTGGTAAATTTCATGTGGCTCTAAATCAATCTTATTTTATTTTTACTTTATCAATTCAATATCAACAACATAAACCATTTTTTATTGATTTGTGGGACAGAGGGAGTATTAGCTAAATCTTTGACAGGAAAATTTATAATAATAATTCTTTTAGAAGGGATTATTTTCTTAATAGATATTTTAATGTTTATTTTAGAATGGACTTATTTAATATATTTTTAATTTTTCCAAAATATCATTAAATAAAATTTATTTACACAAATATGACTGTTATTAAGTTTAAGAATAGTGTCATGATCAATTTTTTTATAGAATGTCATGCTCACATAAGTTTAAGAATTAAACTTAAGGTACGAGGATTAAGTTACTAGTATGATACTAGTTGTGTTTTTATAAACAATTTTTATTTTAATCGATCCTTAGCTCTATTAGACAAAATCATGATTGTGAATTAACTTAAGTGGATCCGCTCTGAAAGAGAGGAAGAAATTGCAAACCTTTGCAAGAACGTTTGCACGAGAGAGGTTCAGCATTCCTTTGAAATTAAAGCTAGATGAACAAGATTACGAGAGTATTTTGATCAATTTGTTTGACATAAACTTTTTATGAGCAATGTTTGTGTACACGTTTTGTACGTGTCCACAAATAATTGAGTGACTATATCGTACATCCGGATGTACATATACATCCGATTTTTTTGTAATTAGTAAGAAGTTTGAGGTAATTAATAAGCCCAACTTCTCTTTTCCGATCCGCCGCTGCTCCACTAACGCTCCTCTTTAGTTCATATGTTCTTTCTTTTCCGCCGATGGTGCTCTCAGTGCATGTTCAATTGTTCATCCTTACTTTCTATGTTCTCTTTTCTTTTCTTTTGTTTATTCTTTTATTCTTTATTTTTTGTTTATTCTTCTTTTTTAGCAATCTTTCAATTATTATAAAAATGTATAATATAAAATATTGTTAAATGATTCAGTTTATTTTTTAGATTCATGTAGGAGTTAATTATAGATACAGAAGCATAGACCATGATACTCAATTACATGTTTTCAATATTCAATAGATGAGGTTTGATGTTTAATAAAAATGTCTTGATGTTCAACTAAAAAACTTGTGATTTTCATATCAATACTCATTTTGTAAGTTACGTTTGCTCAATTTGCACTCACATTATGCTCATTTTTAAAATGTCATACTCATGCAAATTTTAAAAGTTGCGTATGGCATTAGATTCACATTGTTAGGTTTCTAATAAGCCTCATGTTCATTGAAAGTGTTTTAATATTCATAATATGCTTATCTGGTACAGATCTTATGTTCATTTTCTCAATATCATATCAGTGCATTTTCATTAAAGTACTATTTCACATTAGATTCAAATATTGAAGTGCATAGTTGTTGGTTATAAATATAATTTAATAATTTTTTATATAAGAAAAAATAATAAAAAGAAAGTGAATTAGAAGTTATGAAGCAAAGATCACGATTCTGAATATTAGACCTCTAATACTCAACATAATAGGTTTGATGGTCATTAAAAGTTCATTAATGCTCATTGATATGACATTTTAAAAATGAGCATATCATCAGTACCAAATGAGCATATCATCACTTACCAAATGCACATTGATATGAAAATTGTCAGGTTTGTTAGTTGAGTATCATGACACTTTCATTGAGCATCAAACCTCATCTCTTGAGATGAAAATCATAGTTTCTGTTAAATGAATATTTATTAAATTTTAATGAGCATCGAACCTTTTTATGAAAATCACGATTTCTGTAAAATGAGTCTTAATGATTTTTAATGAGCATCAAACCTATACAAATGAGCATATGTAACTTACAAGATGAGCATTGATATGAAATTGTAAGTTTTGTTCGTTGAATATCAAAACATTTTCGTATCATTGAGGATCAAAACATTTTCGTACCATTGAGCATCAAACCTCTGTTATTGAGTATTAGAATCTGCGATTGAGTATCATGATTTGTGGTCTCGTGTCTATAATCAAATCTTGTATAAATCTAATTGTTGGTAGAAAATAATTCGGGTAGAGAAACTAGCAGCATTTCAGTATAGTGAAAATAACATAGAGAATACATGGGGGGTGATGGCCTATTTATAAGCATCCATCACAAGTCCAAAGCCTAACCTACGTGGGCTTGGCCCAAATACATAATACATGTCCAAGCTATTGGGCGAACAAGCGCGATAAATAAGTAAATGAGCAATGGGCTATTTCCGCTCGTGAGACTGTGTCTTGAGCCTAGTTGGGCCAAAGCTCGGGGATAACGGGCCGATGGCACTGGGCCTGGTCCATTATCCCAACACGAGTCCCTCACTCCCTTAGTCGAGTAGTAGACTCGGCTAAAAGGGAGTAGTTGAGCTGCTTTGTGATCGGCCCGGTTGCCAGGCTAGCTAGCTACATAGATGCTTGTTGATACCGATGATTTGTGTGCGCCCGGAAAGGTTAGTCAGGTAATTGTCCGCCATGGTCTCATTGTTTGCGCAAGGATGAGACCCTCCTTGTCTGGGTAGCAGCCCAGGTTCTTGGTTATTTAACCAGTAGTCTAAGGTCTTCTTTGTTCCGTCCGGGAAGATCTCTTCTTTCGTTTATGATGAGGGGATGCCTCGTTAAAACCTTACTGGGAAAAAACCCAATGGGAAAAAATTCCAGTGAAGGAAAAAGAGTACACCGGAACCTTAAAATAAAGCAAAGGAAGGTCAATCCCTTCGGTTCTTGATTAAGTGCCTGCTTTACTGGTAAGTCGAGATATGTTCCGAAAAGATCAGTCGCGCGGTTGTTTGCCAGTGGTGTCGGTCGAGCCGAGGTATGCTTGGAGAAGGCTGGTCGCAGTTGTATGCTGAGGATGGAGATCCGAGGTATGCTCGGGAGAGGCTAGTCACATAGATGTTCGCCGATGTTGGCAAACTGGGTATGCTCGGGAGATGTTGGCCACCCAGCTGTTCGCTGACGATGGACAACCGAGCTATGATCTGGAAAGGTTGGATGCAATACTGTCCACATTGATCCTCATTGCTTGCAAAAGGATAGGGTTTCCTCTGTCTTTTTTAATTTTTGTTGGCTTTTGGGGGATTGTTGATTGTTCCGTGTATAATTTTGGAGCAATTTCCTTGCCTGAATCTTCCCAAATTCCTACCGAAAAATGAGAGATTAACTCTCAATGAAAGCACCAATGTTGGTAGAAAATAATTCGGGTAGAGAAACTAGCAGCATTTCAGTATAGTGAAAATAACATAGAGAATACATGGGGGTGATGGCCTATTTATAAGCATCCATCACAAGTCCAAAGCCTAACCTACGTGGGCTTGGCCCAAATACATAATACATGTCCAAGCTATTGGGCGAACAGGCGCGATAAATAAGTAAATGAGCAATATAATGGGCTATTTCCGCTCGTGAGACTGTGTCTTGAGCCTAGTTGGGCCAAAGCTCGGGGATAACGGGCCGATGGCACTGGGCCTGGTCCATTATCCCAACACTAATGTAATATGATACTTTTGGAATATGCATTGATAAAACATTTTAAAAATGAGCATAACAGAGATGCTAAATGAACATACATAACTTACAAATTGAGTATCCAAAAATTAAAAAATGAGCATCGTGATCCCTACTTCATATTTTATAATTCATTTTCTTTTTTTTTTTTTATAAAAACATATTGAATTATATTTTTACTCAACTCTTATGAATTTCAATATGTGAATCACGACTTCTCTCAAATGAAAACCGCGACTTCTCTTAAATGAACATTATTACAATTTTAATGAGCATCCAGCCTATTCTTTTGAGCATTAGAAGCTTAACAATGAGCATCATGATCTCTGTTTCATATCTTCTAATTCACTTTCTTTTTATTATTTTTACATTTATAAAAATTTCTTAAATTATGTCTATAATCAATTCCAATTAATATAAGTATGTGAATCTAATGTAGTATGATACTTTTGAAATATGAGTTGATATGACATTTTTAAATGAACATAATATTAGTACCAAATGAGCATATTTAACTTATAAAATAAGCATGGATATGAAAATTGTAAGTTTTGTTAGTTGAATATGGAGACATTTTCTTTGAACATTGGAACTTCTCTATAAAGTATTAAAAGAATTCAATTGAGTATCGTGATCTTTGCTCATAGTACCAAATGAGCATACATAACTTACTTAATGAGTATCGAAAAATTCAAAAACACATTTGAAATATTTAATGTGCTCAAATATTCAATTGCGTATGCTCAATTGCTCATTTAATTTTTTATAAAATTATTTCAAGTGAGTTGGCACAGTTGCAGAATGACTGGACCAATAACAACAATGACAAACCTCAGGCGACTCAAATTAAACAAGTCAATAGCTACAAACAATGCTTATTCCATGTACTTAGGTGGAGAAGGATGGAACCAAAATATTTTGAGGATGTGGAGAGTGTATATTATACATCCGGCTGTACGGTGAGCACCGTACAGCCGGCCCAACAAGGAAAGTAACATGCCTAAGAAAAAATAGAAAAATAATTTGATGGTATTTTTGTAATTAATATGAAAATTGTGGTTTGTGCTAAATGAGCATCTGTGTACGGTTAATCAGCAATAGTCCAATTTTAATGAGTACCGTGTTAGTACAAGAAAGTTAATATCACAACTAAAAAACGGTGGCATTTTCGTAATAT